AGCATAAAATCCTTTTAGACAAAAAATCAAGTTATAAGAATATTTGCAAACAGCTAAAAAGAAAATATAGTCGCTTCGAAGGTGATTTGTTAGAATATACTAGAAAGCACAATCCGCGTGTTTTTTATAAGCAGTTCTCACGTAAAAAGAATGCAAATGTTAATTCGGAGCTTACTATCGATATACTCTATGATTATTTTAAGAACACGACGACTGGTGGAATAGATTGTGACATCCGCGAAGTAGACTCCAATGTAGGCTTATGCACCGAGGCAGTGTTTAATGAATTAGATAGTCCCGTGAGTGACGATGACATCATTAGCGTAATTAAAAAATTAAAAGCTAACAAGAGCTGTGCCGAGGACTGTATGATAAATGAAATTTTTATACATTGTAAAAATGTTTTACTACCGGCGTTAAGAACTTTGTTTAATTCTGTACTTGAGTCGGGGCACTTTCCAGAGAACTGGTGTAAGGGTTGTATTATACCTTTACATAAAAAGGGAAATGTTGATGATCCTTGTAATTATAGGGGAATTACCAGAACTAGTTGTTTAGGCAAGCTGTTTACTTCCATACTTAATAAAAGGTTAGAAGCTTGGAATAAGGACAATAGTGTTACAACCGACGCACAATTTGGATTTAAAGCGGGGCATAGTACCGTAGATGCTATCTTTGTGTTACAGCACGTGATAAATCGTACTTTAAGGAGTAAGAAGCGATTATATTGTGCCTTTGTGGATTATAAATCCGCTTTCGATTCCATCAATAGGCTAAGTTTATGGAAGAAATTAAATAGACTCGGTGTCCAGGGTAAATTGCTCCAAATTATAAAAAGTCTTTACAGCAGTGTAAAGGCTTGCGTTAAGTTTAACGGTCAGCTATCTGAATACTTCCAAATACACACCGGTCTATTACAAGGAGAGGTAATGTCCCCGTTACTTTATTCTTTGTACGTGAATGATTTTGAAACTTTTTGCTTTTCGGAAAGTTGTGAAAGTATTGAAATACAGGACATAAACCTTTTTTTACTTATGTACGCAGACGATACTGTACTTCTATCGGAAACGCCTGAAGGACTGCAAAAACTTTTAGATACCCTGAATTTATACTCACAAAATTGGAATTTAACGGTTAATACAGCAAAAACAAAAACAATGGTCTTTAGAAATGGGGGTAAGATAAGGGCTGAAGAGAAATGGAAATATAACGGTGTTGTTTTAGAACGGGTGAATCAATTTAGTTATCTCGGATTACTTTTTAATTTTAATGGAAAGTTTTGTCAAACCCAAAAACATATAGCAGAACAGGGTAAAAAAGCATTATTTGCTATTAGCAGCATGTTAACAAACCATAATTTTAATGTGTCCACCAGGTGTGCAGTATTTGATACGTACGTTGGTAGTATTTTGAATTACGCATCAGAAATATGGGGATTTGATAAGGCAAAGGATATAAGAAAGGTACATACTGATTTTTTGAAAAGAATGCTGGGTGTTAAAAGAAGCACTAGTAATAACTTAGTATATTATGAAACTGGACGATATCCACTTATTTTAAGTAGAAAACTAAGAATTTTTAAGTATTGGCTGAAAATCCGCTCTTCAAAAAACTGTATTATACAAACATGCTATAAAGATATCCTTAACAATAATTTTGAGTGGATAAATTATATACGGAATGACCTTGAATTAATGGGTCTGTCATTTACTTTTTATGAAAACATGTCGGATGTTTGTATACTGTCTTTGATAGAACAAAGATTGAAGGATCATTTTAGACAAGTACTGACAGGAGAAATATTCACAGCCGGTAAAGGGCTTCTTAATCAACACCTTGTCGATAATTTCACAATGCAATTTTACTTGAATAAGCCAATTTCACAGAAAAGTAAGGAATTTATCGCAAAATTTAGGCTTTCATCACATAATCTAGCTGTAGAGACTGGCCGATATACAGATACAAATAGGAAATTAAGAATCTGTAAGTTATGCAATTTAAACGACGTAGAGGATGAATTTCATTTTATTCTTAAATGCCCTCACTACAATACGTTAAGGCAGAAATATATTAAGAAATTTTATTATACAAAGCCAAGTGTCTTTAAATTAATTAAATTACTATCACTTAACAATGTATCACAATTAAACAATTTGGGAAAATATCTGAAATGTGCATCGGAACTAAGATTAAGGCAATAATAACTCTTTGTTTCGGCCAAAAAATGAATTTTCCTGGAGTAAACAACAATTTTCCCATACTTTCCAAAGGTTAATGAATCCATTTTTACATTCAAAGTTGGTCCCTGGTTTTTTTCTAAAAAGTTTGTTTTTTTGTTAAAATCTCTTAAGAGATTTTAACAGAGTATAGCCATCAATGGAGGTCACGTGGTCTAAAGACAAGCTCAGATATCAGAATAATAGCTATAACTGCTGTTTTTGTGGTAAAACAGAATATATTATATTTCTATGAGTTATTCACAAGGTTTTTATTGTGAAATATAGATCTCATACGAAGAGTTATTATCCCTTTAATGTCAATCTGATGAATTATTATTATTATTATTATTATTATTATTATTGTTTATACATGTATCAGTAGTAATTATTGTATTCACAGTAGTTTCACTGTTTTATATTCTGATAAGCCGTAGGGCTTAAAGGTTAAATAAATTGAAATATAATTGTAGTCAGTTCTTGCAATTCTTGATCAATCGGGAATTCTGATTGAGCTGTTCAAAGTCTTGGCCACAAATCCCGATTCCAAAACATCGTAGTGAATTTCTGGACAATATTCGTGCTATCCCAGCCGAATTCCACGAATATTCGTAACACTATCGCACCTGTATCGTAACTTGATTGGTAGAGCATGTGGAATTAGACCAGAAAATTGGCAAAATCTCACGAATTCTCACGAATTCCACGAATATTCGTTACACTATCGCACCTGTATCGTAACTGAATCGTGAGCGTGTGGAATTAGACCAGAAAATTGGCAAAATCTCACGAATCATCACGAATCCTGAAATTTGTCAATTCTTGGCGATTCGTGGTCTGTGTGAAATAGGGCCTTTAGGGGGTAATAAACTTTCGTGTCCGCCCGGCTGACAGCTATTTAGCGTGAACCCCCAGGGAGTTAGGTCGATCTAAAGTAAACAGATCTAATCTCTGGAAATGGGGTCTAAGATGCGTGTGAGGCACGTGGTTAAAGCGCTCGACACACGTACTTATTTCTTGCTAATTCCGTGTTCACTCCGCATTTCCACGCGCCAACCGTGTGCAATTTACGAGCTTCGTGCATGTTGAGTGAGTAGTGGGTACTCCATGCGCACGGACTGTAGGTTTAAAAGGAGGAGCATGCACGTAAAGGCATCATTTCATCCTTAGACCCCATTTCCAGAGATTAGATCGATCTACTTTAGATCGACGTAACTCCCTGGGGGTTCACGCTAAATAGCTGTCAGCCGGGCGGACACGAAAGTTAATCAGCCTCTTACAGCTTGTAGTAGGCGGGACGGACATTTAAGCAGGATTATCTGACAGTAATCTAGTGAGACTCCCCGCGGGGATAGATCGATCTAAAAGCTCTGGGAATACAGCCTTAGATTTCAAGTTTGAAAATGCCTATATAAAAGACAGCATCATTTAAGGTTTCGCGCCAGATCGTCAGAATGGCTTGAATGATCATATTCTTCAGAAAACATGCCTAATAACGACATCCTTATCCAGATACACAAATCAATAGCTCCTTTTGTAAATTTAGGGCTTTTAAAATACGTCCTTTTTGCTCGGACTGGAAAGTAAGAGCTACATGGCCGTGTGGTTCGGTGACGACAATTGTGCCACTGGAGGAGAGGGTCAAGTAGCGTGTTTAGCTGTCAAATTGAGCATAGAATTCATGTATGATTACTTTTCGGACTCCTGATAACAGTTTATTCTCATTCAAATCCTTTACCCGATGGATTTAAATCCCCGTGAAGCCGTGTGAAGCCATTGTCCCGTCTACTCAATTCTTTAACTAGCATTTAAATATGGTTATCTAAAAAAAATAGTATAAAATTCCCATTCGAATGGCTTGAGAGTACTTTTGATCATTCAATATGGGGTCCATGTCATTTGTGAAATTCAATTCAGTTTATTAAACCCTTGCGCCCTTCGGCTTATCAGAATGAAATGCAACAAAAATATAAGGACATAAAAAATCAACAATACAACTACTAGTAATGATAAAAAACTCATCAGACTGACGTAAATATTACCGTTGTAAATAATATTTTCGCTAAATTGGCTTAAACATTTAATTGTTTTGGATTCATACACTATGTTCAGCTCATTACAGTAAAGGCCCAGTCACAATGTCGGCGATCTGTCGGGGATTAGTTTTGGCCGGGGGTCGTCATAGAAAATAAAGAATCCTAATAAAAGTGGAGCAGTCACATTGTCTGAGATTTTTTCAAGGATTTTGACCCGGTTTTGTCGAAAAATCGTGGGATTAGCCTCCGATTGCATCGGAGGCGATCGGAGACGATATCTGCGAGCGTCTTCTCTCGTAACTTTTCCCCCTGGGTATATGTGGTTATATATGGGTATATATTCGGAGGACGCCTCCGATTAATCAGAGGGCATCGTAGGTCATCGGAGATTGTGTCTGGGATGCCCAAAATGGGTGAAAAATCTTGCGAGCAATCTTAAAATTTTAAGTTCAAAGTTGGGGACCGCGACGGGTGTGGCCATGTCTAAAAATCTGCGACAACCCGCAGGCGTCCGTAGAGCGCCTCCGACGTGTGCAAAATCGTGAGATCTGTCTCAAGGTTTTGTTCAAATTTCCCGGGTTTTACCCATCCCCGACGCATCGCAACTGATTTGTGACTGGGCCTTTACGCTCCCTTTAATCTTATAGTCATTTTGTTTCTCGTTTGAAGATGAGAGGTGAAATAAAACGATTTTGAGTGAGTAATGTTCTTTCTCTAGTTTCAAAAATTGCTTCGACAACTTCAAGATATGAAAGATGCTGCTGGAGAGCCAATATTTAACCCTGGCTGTGCTATTTTTGTCTGCAACCGCTGGGATCTGGTGCCAGAGGACGCAAGGGAAATAGCTGTGGAGAGGGTGTGTTCGGCAGTGAGTAGGAGCTGGCAAATAGATTCATCAAAGCACATATTTACCCTTTCTGCTAAAATGGCGTGGCAGCACAGTCAGACCGGGTGCATGACTCACGATTACAGGCGACTGGTCAGAGGCATCAAGGGCCTGATTCCAGTGAGTTTGCAAAGGAGGATGGAACGCTTGCACAGGTGTGTGTTATAATATTTTTTTTCGTTTTGCAAGTTTGTCTTGTTTTTTTTTCTTTTTATTCATTTATTCAAGTAAATTTTCCTCCCAAAAATTTTTGTTTCTGAGTAATATTAACATTTTCTCTCTAACATTACTAGTATGTCATTAAAACAATGTATGTATTTAATTAACGTTAAGGTTTTATACAACATTGGTCAAAAAGATTGTCCCACCCCATTTCAATGTACTTTTATTTACAAATGATCACCTCACAGCTGAAAATTGTTAGAAATAGTGCTTTTTATTACAGATACCGTGTCTAACATGACTAATGGTTAAAAATAATACAAGGTAGTGGTGAAAATAGATATGTATCATACCCAATTTTAAAATGACGCCACATAACAGAATTGCTACCCGTGTCGAAGGCTTGTCGCGCCGTCTACAGGAGATAATTGCAGTACGCGATAGACGCACACGCTGTTAAGCACGTGACCTTTAACGAGAACACCAAAATGCTAATTGTGTGTGAATTTGGTGACATTTGATGGCGTCTTTTCAATGTAATAGTCATTTCTTTAAATCTGTAAAAACCGCAGTGAAACAGTGGATTTGAGGGGGTACCTCTTATAAATTTTACTAAATGGTATAAAATAAGTATACTGTAACCATTATTTTGTATTTTTTAACCATTTATCATTTTAGACACGGTATCTGTAATAAAAAGCATTAATTCTAACAATTTACAGCTGTGAGGTGATCATTTGTAAATAAAAGTACATTGAAATGGGGTGGGACAATCTTTTTGACCAATGTTGTATATGGGGGGGGGGTTAGTTCCCGAAGCTTTTTAAAATTGGGTATGATACATATCTAGTCAAGATATTGATATCTTTCTTTCTAGATGGGGTACACATCTGACACAGCGCACCATTGATTCTGCGCAGCAGTATATTCATGCTGCCAGCTTGACACGGGACGAGCTTGAGGCTCGGTACAAGGTTCAGGAAGGACGGTTGAGCATACTTGAGAATACGTCGAAAGAATTTTTGTTTTATCTTCAAGGCGACCTTCAGGAAGGATATAAAACCATAACTGATTCTCTCTCTAAATATCTTAGCAGCGATCTTGTCTGTGCTCGCGTTACCTCTTGGACCAATGCCGAAGCTCCTTATGGGCCAGATTGGAACTGTTTAGAAGGAAGAATAAAAAATGCCATCTGTAAAAGAATCATGGATGCCATCAACTCTTGGGAAACGGAAACAAAACAATTCGAAACTCTGAAGAAACAGTTGTTTAAGAAATTCACTGAGAAATTCCAGTTAATTAAATCTGAGCTGAGCATGATTGAAAATATGTTTGATAGGTCCTTGGGAACAGATTCTAGGGAAAATGGAAATGTAGCAACGTATATGCCATTGCAAGACATAACGGGCTATGCTATCAACAAAATGCCAACAACAGAATTAAGCTTGGGTGAAAAAATTGCGTTTGGTTTGCTTTCGCCAGTTATTGTACCTCTTGGTGCATTGGCATTTCTTTTTGTTGGCCCAAAAAAGATAGAGGAGCACTTAATCTTAAAACAATATGAGCAGAACAAATGTGAATTTCTTCGAGAAAGATCATTCGAGGTTTTGAAAATAATGGCGAAGCACGATGTTACAAAATCTTATGTCGATGCTCAACTCCAAGAGGCCAGGGATCATCTACAGTTGATGCGTGAGTCCATTCCACAGCTTATATCTTCTACACGAAACTACATGCAGACCATTAAAAAAGACCAACGGTCTAAGGAGAAGCTCATCGCCACCTATGCCCCTGTTGTCAAGCAGTTCACGACAGTTAACCATGCGCTGGAAGATTTTGCTATAAGACATCTTTTCTTGTATTTTAATGAGACAGATGTGGAAGCAGACATCAGCCCGTCCGAAGGACACACATCATACCAAGGCAACTGGACCGAAGTTTTCCCTGCCATCTTTAAATCTTCAAAAGATCAACCCTGCAAAATTACTGTCAAGCGCTATAAAGGGACTGCAAAAAGCAAGCAAGTTAGAGAGGAAATAGTTGAAATGAGGTGTGTTATACGCAAATACATGTACTATTTTACGTTATCAGTTTTGAATTGTGGCTTTAGAAGTTTTCAGTATTCATATATATATAAATATATATATATATATATATATATATATATATATATATCCGCATTATCTAATATCCACGTTGCCATATATGATTCATGACGCTTGAAAAGGTGTGTTTTTACTTCAACTAATTCAACACATGCTGTTTCAGGTTTCGATGAACATGTTTAACTTCCATTTTTATATTCAAATCTTTGCGGCTTGTCTGTTTTATCTATTAGATCTGGTGTAGTATTGATCTCATTTTCCAGGAAACTGAAGCAACAGAAGATTGGATTTGTGCCCACCGTACTGGGTACTTACATCGACCCGACAACTGAACTGCCAGCTCTTATCATGACCCCGCGTCTGACCAGTTTGAGGGTCCTCAGCAGTGACAAGGGCACAACTACAGTCCACCGTGGTCAGCTGGTCCATTATTTACTCAAGGAACCGATAGCCTATCTAATCCAACTGGCGGACGCCTTGGCCTACCTGCACCAAAATGACCTCGTCTGTTTGGATTTGTCTATGGATACAGTTATGATTACCGTACGTACTGATCAACTGATTATTATTATTATTTATCATCTTAAATCATCTGTCACAAATAGTGAGTTTGATTTTGTTTTACTGGTTTATCCTGTCAAAGAACATGTGTGCGTTTCATTTGTCTATTCTAAAGAGCAAAAATCCCATGATAAATTGAAACTGCAACTATATCTCGATATAATGGTGTAGAACCCGTGTAATATGTAAAAGTTTTGCTCTGCTATAGGCCTGTACTATAGCTAGCAATGCTCTCTTACATGCTTTATTTTGTAATACAGACTGGAAATGATAGAATCGTGACGTTGGTGAACATCAGCGAGCCGGTCACCATGACACCCCCAGACCCCAACTCCCCCATAGGGTCTATGGTTTGTCTTCCCTTCAGCGTACTCGATGGCACCAAACCTTACGATGCAGATGCCAACATCTACGCCCTTGGGCTCATGATGTGGGAGATATGGCATAATGAACTTGTGTACAAAATCCACAGAGATCTTTCAGTTAAAGTCTTCAGTGCTGGCATCAGCCAGGGCACATTTCCCCTGGAGTTTGAAACCGGGAAAATGAAGCCAGCCTTGGAGGCATATTGGGAGAAGACCATGAGGGCCTGTCTCTCGGGGGAAATCGCCATTAAAGACTGGAAAGATCAACTGTCCCTCATTCAGAAGATGTTAAACCGAAATGAATCAACTGTCTGAAGCTGCTTCAACCGTCACCGTACGTCATATCACGTGAGCGTATGTTGTATTAGCCAGGCATGCAGCATGTGAAATTGATAGGAAAGTTAGTATGATACTAAAACAACAGAAATGGACATAAATGCCGATGCAATAACACAGACTACTTGTTCGATATTAAAATTGGTATTATATACAGTATGAACAGTATTTGCCTGAGTGATGATTAGTATTTAAATTAACATGTAAGTAGTAATGATATTATCCATATTGTTATGATGAATTTAAATCTTTAGAATTAATCTACATACTCATTGCATTACGTACATGATTTGGTAGATCTTCTTTGATTATGTATACTACTTCTGCTGTACAATTGCTTTCATATTAGGCTAAAATATCATTAAAATACTAGAGACACCTCGCAATACTCACTTCTATTTTCACACAAGTCAACAGTTTTGAATCCAAATGTGCCACTACATATATTTAAAGATAATAATTGACATCATGGTTTTAGGTCTGTGAAACGGGTCTGCGTCATGGTGCTTAGTACCAGAAGATAATGCCCATATTTCTTGTAACATTATGTCAGTTAAACTAATATATTATAAGAGGTACAGATATAAGTTATAATTATAGGACGTGGAAGATGTAGCACAAGTTTCTTCCCTCAAAAGCAATGTTAAGGGACTGTATTTGGCCAAATACAGATTCATTCATATTACAAAGTGGAGTAATAACTATAATACATTTGACAATTTCATTTAGGTTTTTGTACCTGCAGACTACTCTAAACATTGGCATGGCTTGGCAAGTATAAACATTATGATAAATAAAAATATTATTTTTGAACGAATTATCCCATTGTCAGTTTTGACGGCTTTTAAACTAAAAAAGAAATTACTCAAGAGTAAATATTATGCTTTTTGCGCATTAAACATGCACATGTACTTTTCTATATTCAGTTTGAACCATTTGATCAAGATGCAAATTGATTTTAATCCAATCTGAATTTGACTTGGCTTTCTACTTGTGTCTATAATTAACACGGTGCATTGATCTTTGCGAGCGAACTTTTGGTATAAGAAGTGTGTGTACTATCACAAAATTTTAATGACTTTATGATTAATTTATCCTTATTGTTACTTCAATGATTTCAGACACTGATCTATGTATCATTATTGTTATTATTATTATTATTATTATTATTATTATTGAGAGTGTGCGTCATGCACGGAATTAACATGACACTTAAGTCCTGACGAATTTTATGTTTTTTTTAAATGTCCTATGCTATATACTGATAATCATTTTATTGTGTGTTAACCATGATCATTATTATTGATAGCAGTGTGGACAAATATGAAGATGAATAGATACTTCATCATGAACGATGCGCTGGTTGCAACGTTGTGGTGAATGCTTTTCATTGGACAGGGGACGGCCGACCCTATTGTCTTACGTAGTACATTCCTACTATGTCTTAAATGACAGCCGTAAGAGAAAACCGTAAAAGAAAGGTTTCAGAGCCATAATAAGAAAACAACACTTTTGAATACCCGCATGAGAAAAGGTTGTGGTGAATGCTTTTCATTGGACAGGGCACAGCCGGCCCTATTGTCTTACGTTATGCATTCCTACTATGTCTTAAATGACAGTCGTAAGAGAAAACCGTAAAAGAAAGGTCTCAGAGCCATAATAAGAGAGCAACAAGTTTAAATATCCGCATGAGAAAACAAACAAAAAGTGCTCTTGAGCCACACATTAAAAGGTGTAAATGACGATTCGAAATACATCCACAGACGTATTTCCTAAAAAATCATTAATTTATTTTTTCCTTCAAGTTATATTTTAAATTTTTAGTGTTTCTGATTTTATGCGAAATTTCCTTATAGAATTAATTTATTTATTTATATTTTTGCATGACTTTATGATAGAAATGGAGTATTTAAGGAGGATAATCATAATTTTTTCATTTTTACTTCATTTGATTTTGCAGAATCTAACGAAGTTGCGTATAACATTGACATTGATGGCAGAACTGTAACTTTGTAATTTAAGCTTTTTGTTAATTTACGTATTTTATGATATTTAGTATTTGAATTAAAAGAAAAAGGAGCGTATGTTGTAAAGTTTTAAAATTCGAGGACGAATTTTTTTTGAAGAAGGGGTGTATGTTGTAAAGCAAATGACTTACGTTTTCACTAATTACCGATAACAATTAAAACGGAATCAAGAGAGTAAAAGGATAAAGAGTTATTGAGTGTAAGTTAAATTTCATCAAGAGTCAACAAGTGTAGAACATGTTTTAGTGTCAGAAAAAATGGAAAAGGTCAAAGTCAGTAACAGTTTATGTGATTGGTTAATTTCGTAACATATCTTACTTTTGATATGAGTTTAAATATAGAGAAGAAATAGAGTTTAAATACGTGTGACATTGTGTGAAAAGATTAGTCGGTGAATAAATGTTTGCAAGCTCCAGATCGTTGTTATTATTCACTATAACATCATTGGCTCGGTTAATTTGAGCTGTACATTATTAAGGCGAATGTGTCATTGTTGTTTAAAGACTTGTATGTAAAACATGATTTGCCGCTTTGTATTACTGGATAAAGTCTCCTTCTGTCTGCAGTATCAGTAGTTAACTCTCCCTTTTTATTTTTCAAATTGTATTAATGATATGTATTGTCCTGATTCAATAAATTCCATATTTCCCCGAAATGCGTCATATTGTGCTTGTACTTCAGAGCGGTATCTCTCGAAATGCCAGCTTAGATAAAGGGGAGACGCTCAGCTGCACAAGAATCAGCGGTAAAAGTGGCTGAGAGAAGGCTTTACAATAAAATGAGTGCGAGTGAGTTTTGAAACCACGAAAGTGTTGATTGTAAAAAAAGTGTCTATTCATATCTTTTGAAACATGTAAAAGTTGCGTCGGCATTTTTCTGTGGATTGCGAGTTAACTGCAACCAGTCCACCCTCCCCCCTCCCTCGAAAGGCGAGACGCCTCGATCGTGCCAATCACGAAATGCCCTTTTCAGGGCACCCTATGTAGATCGGTATCTATAAATCTCATACTATGTAGGTGAGACACCTACCTTCCTATCAGAGACGATCTTTCCTCATAATAAAGGCGAGAAGCCTTACACACTCAAAAAGTCGCTCTCAATCATGCAAGGGGCGCTGTCAAAATACACGTCCTCAGAGGCCCAGCTCTGAATCGTGTTATTTTGGTAAAGTGGAATCTAACTAGGGCATGAGCCGACCACCCCCAACACAGGGGTACGTTATTAATCCAAAAGCAGATTTTTACTTTTTATATAATCTACTTAAAAGGTAGAATATCAAGCTGTGAGACAGTTTTCATTCGTTTATCCCGCTTAAATTTCATTTTACTACTTATGTGATAGGTGGCAAGAGTGATAGATGTTCTCTAAAACACACCGAACATAATAACAGACAAGGCATTGTTTCTTGATTGAATCCGATACATTAGGCTATTTAACTTGTAATGTTTTTTTTCTTTTTATTTTATTTAAATTATAATTCGAAGTCTCTTGATCCCTCTGTTATCTAGCAATGTACATTAATGTTCTATTAATCAGTCCCATCAATAAATGTTGGTTCATATATCGGGTTTTAAATTTGTAGAAATTCGGAGCCAGTAGGGGGCTCTCTGTTGCACAATATAGTAATTTCATATTGAAATTCAAAATGACAATAGCTGATTTTAGTAGACATTTTTATTTCTCTTTCTTTATCCCGTAGGTGTCTGTTCTTTACAATAACTTTTTGTTTGATCTATGCATATAAACACGATATGTTAGCTTTGGTGTCTGGTATTGTCATTACAGGTATATGCATGTGGAGGTGTGAAAATAATTATCTAGTTAGTCTAATAAGTAACTAAAATATTTATAGCTGGCTATTTGGCACTTTACGTTGGTATGGAGACTTAAAATTTGTTTTTCGTATTTTCTAATTTTATTTATCCTGAAGTGATCACGGTGTGCACTTTAAAATTTTTTGTTTTTTAACAACGCTGACCACGAAATCCAATTTTTAAATGTTTAATTACAGTGATACAATGATGATTCCGATTATCTTTACCGTGCATCATAACAGATGCATAAAAACTGATGAAAATATGCAGAGTGGACTTAGTTTTAAAATCAGAGTTTATATATATATAGTCAAAAAGAACAATGTGTTCCATCATTCAATACCTTATTTTAAGTGTGTATCAGATAATCAGAATGTTAGGTTGCATAATGCATTATGCCATATGATGAATATTTTCCGAGACATTCTTAAATTCTGAGTTCATTCCAAGTATTTGGTGCCTATTAATTGTTTTGGTCGGTACAGATGTTTTGCTTATACTCAAAACTTCCTATGTGCATTTAAAGTGAAAAAAAATACAAAATTACGTTTGAAGTGTATTTCTACTGTATTGTCACTGCATCTTGAAGGATATCCAAAATATTCGGTCTGATTTAAATCCAGATAAATGTGAAATATCCAGGAATATTATTATTATGGAACTCCAGCTTAGTCCAACTCGTGTGACTAGGATGTAAGGTCAATTTAAAATCCTGAATTTGGCGCTTTCTGCTTGATTCATTCAACCTCCTGATTCGGGGTAAGTGTGATAGGATTATTACTTAAAAGGGAATTCAACTTTCTGGAAACCTAAATTCAATAAAATCCGACCCCCCTCCCCTTCTCTCTAAAGCTGCCCATCACGTTCCATTTCTTATATCGTTAAGTGCTTTCTTTGCGAGGTAAACATGTCCTACCCGTGCAAAGGCATCACACACCGCATTGTAAAGCTAGCTAATCAAGCTAATCATCTTTATTCAATTGATAAAGGCCACCGGCCCATAGCAAATACATCATAAGATTACAGTTGGACATTCACATCAGTTTTCTCTAGCAATCAAACCATGATAATTAAATCTAGGAAGGTTGTTCACTGCATCAGGGTTTTTTGTTTTCATCATAGCAATATAACAATTTGA